CGTGCGTGCAAAAGCCAGGTGGCTCCAGGCCCCATCCCCCTCCAGAGATGAACTTTTCAGCTTGAACTTGTCGGCTTCTACACGCTTGTGAGCCATTTACCTAAGATAAATTTCTCTCTCTCTCTCTTTCTCTCTCTGTAAATATATATATACACTTTGCTGGTTTTTGTGTTTCTCTAGAGAACCCAATCCAACACATAGACAAAATTTAATATTGTAAGTGCTATGATGACCCGTTGCCATTGAGTTGATTCTGACTCATGAAGACCTGTAGGACAGAGTATAACTGCCTTATCCTGCCCAAGGTTGTATTCTTCATGAAAGCAGAGTGCCACATCTTTTTCCATGGAGGAGCTGGTCGGTTTGAAACACCACCATCTGGTTAACAGCTGAGTGCTTAACCACTGTGCCACCAGAGCACCTTAGTGCTGTAATAACTGGGGTGCTCTGGGAGTATAAAAAGATCACTCTCTGCTGTGAGATTTAGGAAATTTCTAGAGAGCTAAGGTCTAAAATACATTTTAAAACTCAAAAACAAACTCTCTGTCACCAAATCTGTTCTGACTCATCAACTCTTTAGGACAGACAAGAATTGCCCCTTTGGGTTTCCAAAGCTATGAATCTTTGTGGAAGCAGACTGCCTCATCTTTCTCCCACAGAGCAGCTGGTAGAATCAAACCACCAGCCTTTTGGTTAGCAGCCAAATGCTTTGACCACTGTACCACCAGAGCTCCTTGAAGAACATTTTAAAGGATGAATAATTAAGAATTAAAACCATGTCAATAAAAATCTGCACATTGCTGTCATTTACTCATGTTTGGGTCATTCTCATTCTTCAAATAATGTGGCACCAAGTTCACTATTTTCTGCTGTACCTGTATACTGGTCTTGTTAATGACCCCACCATTATTGTATGATCTACTTGTCCTCTCAGTTTTATCCTCATTTCCAATCAGATTCTTTTATCCTCTCATCCTTCTTTTCCCAGTTATGCTCTACATGTTTTCATTTCATTTTCATTCTGACCATCACCATTGACTTTTTGACTTTTCTGTCTTCTTCGGTGTCCTCATTTTCCTCCTTAAACAATTTAGATTTCAGACCTACACAATCCATTGCTATCACTCTGTCACAAATACCTTTAATTCCATAGTCCTTAACTGTTTTAAACCTACTCTTCCTCTGTTTTCTCCATAATTCAGCAGCTGAATATTATCTCCAAAATGCCTTATTTCAGAACTTCTTTTTAACACACAATTCAACACATGCTTTGCCTCAGTCCAGTCAGCTGAACGTCTTGCCTTATAGATTGTTGAGAAAATAAAAGCATTCAGATGAGAACACCTTTATCTTTGCACCTTCAAATCTTCCCATATGTTTGCTTTGTATTCTTGACCTCTCAGTCTGCTTTTCTGTTTTACTAGAAGCTCACTGCTTTTATTAAGGCTAACTCCTTTCCCTGTGCACTAGATGTCTCTTCTTAACCTGTTCGAAGACTTTATATATGTCCACTTAGCTGTCTATATTTCCTCGCCTCCTGTTATCTCCCCAGCCTTCCATAGTTAAGCTTCTGTCTCCATCAGCCCTCCTGAAATGCTCTTATCAGGACCACCAGTGATTTTCTTACTGTCAAACCCAAGATTTCTTCTTTCTCTTCATCTTAATCACTTGGCAGCATTCTACCCTGTTTACTGTTGTCCCTTTCTGAAATACTTCTCTTGACTTTCTTGGTGCCTGGTTTCCTACCTATTTTATTGGCTACTTCTTTTTTTATAGTCTCCTTTCTTGTTTGACCTTTAAATGTTGGAATAGTAGAGGACTCTGAGCTCTGGATCTTTTTCTCTGCTCCATCTATATTCTTTCCTTGAGTGATCTAGGAAATCTTAGCCTAAAAACCATCATTAGAAAGGTAACATTCAAATTTATCAACAACTCTGACTTTTTCCCCTAAGCTCTAGACCCATCTGTTCAATTGTTTACTTGCATCTTACTTGGATGCCCTGGTATAATCTACCTATCTTTCCTCTCATAGTCTGCCATTTCAGGAAATAGTACCACTAGCCCATTTTCTTAAGCACAAACCTGTGAGTTCTCCTTAATTACTCTTTCTTTCCCACCTTAATGTGAGTCATCAGCAAATCCCATCAGCTCTGTTTCTCAACATATTTCTAAAGTTGTCTTGCTTATCTCAGTCTTAGAGCTCCACAGAATTGCTTTCTAAATGCTTCAACTCTTATTCTCTGTGTTCGTTCTCCATGAATGATGCAATGTAATGTGTTTGAAGCAATCAGATTATATTACTCCTATGTTTATAATCTTCCAGTGGTTTCTTAACTTACTTAAAATGAAATCCAAACCTCTCTTATTAAGACTTCTAAGGTCTCATGTAGAAATGTTGTCTACCTGTCTTTGACTTTATCCTGTAACACCAAGTTTACTGCTACATCAGGAACTTTAAATCTGTTTTCTCTGCCTAAGAATGTGCTTCCAAGTGTTAAAATAGTTGGTTCCCTTTTGTTTAATCATTTGTCTTTAATGCCACATCAAAAGGGATTTTCTTTTCATAGCACCTGATCTAATAATGATGTCCATCCTCCATAATTGACTCTGCCATATTATCTTGCCTTTTATTTTATTTTTCATAGCAACTATACTTGCTTGAATTTATATTGTTTTTGGTGTCCCCTTCTTCCTTTGTTCCAAAAAGTATATGCACTGTTAGTGCATGTACCATGTCTGATATATTCATTGCACTATGTCTGATACCTTTGAACAATGCTTGGTGTGTAGTAAGCTCCAAATAAATAATTGTCAAATTCAGGAGTGTGTTAACTTTTTTAACAGACACGCTTGGTTATTTTATCATAAAACATTATTTTGTTGTTTTTGGTTGCTGTCCTGTTGGTTCTGACGTATAGCACCTTGTGTGTGTTGAATTTAAGTATGTGTGTAGTTTTTTTCCTACTTCTTTTCCTCCCACCAACCCCCTAAAAAAAGTTGAAAATAGACGTATTCTGCCAATCATCTTGATTTTAAAAAACAACCTTTGTAATCCTGTTAAAGAAATCGACCAAGTACTTAAATATGACCAAGCTGTCCGGATTTGAATACATCTTAATTATTTGATCATTTTTGGCACTCCTTTTATTCTGGTTTAGGTTTCATTTCCAGTCTCTAGGTTTCCTACTCCATTCAATTATGAAACATGTCGTAATTTTTAAATAATTGTGTTCAAAGTCAAATTGAGTTATGTAATTTCCATTATCTGAATATGTTAGTTATCTTTAAAACGAGTTTTTAGAAGTTTACTTTATGTTGATTTAGACCTTCTGTCCTGAAGCTGAGAGTGGGTATGATTTGGTGATCTATATTCATATTCTTTTTAGAACCTGATTATTCAGTACAGTGTCAAGTGATAATATTCATGGTGCTAGAGCCCATTTACTTTCTCACAACTTAAGTTTATTTTTTAGGATGCTATACTAGAAGAACAATTACGAATGTATCTTCTCTGTTGTTTGACACTTTGTGATTTCTGGGAACCAAACACTGTAATTGTCACCATTCTATGGGAATATTATAGTAAGAATCTGGTAAGTAGATAGAATCTGGAGTCTTTTCCAGGAATTTGAAGAATTTGTACATGAGACCAAAGGAACATTTTTATGGTTTAATTAGAAATAGTTCTGAATTTTCCAACATTGTTAAAATTTTTGTTCAGAGTACATTGGAATAGGTCAAGAATGGTTTTTTTTCTTTTACATTTGTTTACAGAGCATTGGCCTAAGGGAGATCATTGGGTGTCCTTTTCTCTTGAGAGTAAGCATAAACAAAGTAGCCAAAATTGCAAGAGAATGATATATTTTAAACATCTTCATTTATAAATGTTTTCTACATGATGTTAACAGTTTTGATTGCCTGTGACACATTGAACTGGTGCTGCTATTTTGAATAAGATACTCTCTTAGCACTTGCATAGCTTGCAGGCTATTGGACAGTTACATATATTGTGGGAAAAAAAAAAAGTTATGGCATGGAAACCCAGATGAGGGTGCATCTGACCCAGTGTGTGGACTCATGAAGACTTTATGAGATCCTAACATTTGAACTTGGTCTTGGGGGAGTGAGTGGAATTTTCACATACAGAAGAAGAAGACCACCCAGGAAGAAGGTATAGTAGGGACAAATGTATGGAGGAATGAAAAAGTATGGTCTGTTCCTACTATGGTAAATACTTCTGAATGATAGGCCTGCGATGACTATGGAGAGTGGTAGGAGATACAGAGAGTACAGGAAGTAGACTGGGCATAGACTATGAAAAACCAAAACCAAACTCACTGCCACTGAGTCAATTCTGACTTATAGTGACCCCCTTGGGTTTCTGAGGTGGTAAATCTTTACAGAAGTAGATTGCCCATTGGGGTGGCCAATCTTCTGGTCAAATGCCTTAGGCACTACACCACCAGAGCTCCTTATAGACTGTGAAGGGTTGAAGAAAATGAGCAGTTAAATTCTAATTTATTCAAGGGTGTGATCTGTTAGATACGTGTTGGAGAAATTTTGTTCTGAAAGTGGTGTAAAATGAATTGATTCAAGATGAGGTAGTAGTTCATTACAATAGTATAAGCAAAGAATACTATGGATGAGAACTAGAATAGGGACAATAGATTTAGAAAGGGGTGGGTAAATTATTACGATAAAATTTTAAGAGGTAGAAGTAAAGGAGTTACATGGAAGTTTTATAAGTAATTATAGCTTTGCATTTGAGCATAATATCAGCTTATTTAAAATGAGAAAAAAATGCTTTTCTCTGAAGAATAATGTCAGGCTGAAATGACTGATTTCAATTCTGGGGAAGAAAGTGTATAAGATGACACTGTAATATCTTGTCATAAGAGAAAGCAGGGAAGGTACCAACCTAAACCAGACTCATGTCAAAAGGATACAGCAGACAACTTGAAAGGCGTTGCATTACCCAAATCTGGGACAGTTTGATCTTAAGAATGTAATGACTGCAATGGATTTGAATTATACCAAGTATGTTTAAATCTCTTGAGTTTATGATATTTTTAGAAAGGTATTATTCTAGGAGGGGGACCTTTATTCTGAAAACTGTAAATAAAAGAAGATACAAACTATATATTAAAGTAACCAAATATCTGATGAGCTAATAAATTCCAAGGTGATCATAGATTAGAAAATTTTCATTTTGTAGATCTGATGAAATAAGGCATCAGGGCAGCAATCATCAATGACTGCTAACATCATTAAGGAGAAGGCTGATGGAGATCACAAAAATGTATAGATTAGGCTGACAACCTGATCAGTCTTAACAGTACAAAAAGAATGACATTCATAACTTACGTACTCCTTAACTAGAGGCCATAGGAGGTACTCAGTACTATCAATGAAAAATGCTTGCTGAAAAACCTGATCGGAATTTGATCAAGTGTCTAATTGTAGGCACCAGTTTACAAAGAAAGGATAAAAGAATATGTTAAGTGACACAAGAGCATACAAGCACCTAAATCCAGAATGTGGAAATTCCCAACCACAAATGACTCAATTGCCCTTCTCCCCCAGTGGGAGCTCTGGTAGCATAGTGGCTACGGCACTTGACTGCTAGCCAGAAGGCTGGCAGTTCAAACCCACCAGCCACTCCTCAGAAGGAAGATGGGGCAATCTATTTCCATAGTGATACTGCCTTGGAAACCCAAGGAGGGATTGCTATGAGTTGGGTCCGACTCGACGGCACGTAACAACAAGAAGGGAAAAAAGTAAGGAAGCTTATATAGAGTAAGAGAGGTTTAAGAGACATATCAACCAAATGTAATGTATGGACAAACCAACTGTTGAAAAGACATTTTTAGGACAATCCAGAAATTTGGACACTTTGTGATGTTAAATGCAATTACTGAATTTATTTTGTGGGGTGGATATGAGAATGGTTACATAATTTTTGTGATTAAGATGGGTCCTATTTCTGTTGAGCTAAGCGGAATTTGCAGATTTCCATTTTTCTTTTATCATGATACTTAATATTTTTCAATCTTGTTTTGTTCTTAGAATAGTTCTTTCAGTGTTTCTTGGCTTCCTTTGAAAGGCCTCACAAATATAATTAAGTCACCGTTGTCTATGCTTGAAATGGTGAAGACCTGCTGTTCTGATAAACAAGACCACAACCTTTATAAGTCTAGCAGTAGTTATACCATTTTCCTTTGCATTTTGGCAAAAGTAATTAAGAAAGCAATGAAGAACAATGGCCCTCATCCTTGGAAACAAGTTAAAGGAAGGTATGTGGTGTATTTACTTATTTATTTAGCCATAAATGATCCCTGTTATCTTTGGGAAAGTGTTACTGTTTGTATTTTTTAAGTTCACTTATGCTTAGAATTTTTGTGCTTTAAACATTTAAAATGTATTCTTCAGTGTAGAAGAGCAAAATACGGAGTTTTTTGATCATGACAATTTGTTAAAGTAAGGAATAAGTCTAATCCGTAACTTGGTTTTCATTTCTTATTTAACATTTCTCATTTATCTCATCAATACTAAGAATAGAAATTAGATATATTAAATAAATATTAGAGAACTTGTTTTTTTGACAAAATTAATAAAATATTATTATATAACTGCTGCAAATATTTTATCAAATTAAAATGATATAATTTTATTAAATAAAAATGACAGAAAACATCCAAATTGTGGAATGGCTGGTATTACGTACAGCTTTGTGTTCTTTGAGCCTTGCACTCTCATGATCACTGCTTCCATGAATGAAAACTGGATATGCTATAATAACCGGTAACTAACTCATGTTCTAATTTGGGGAGTATGCCCTGTTTTAATTTCTGGAGTAGTGTGAAATAAATCATCGGTTATGTTAGTTTATTGCCATGTTGTTCCCCTTTTCTTCTGAGAGTTTTGCTTGTTTCATGGGTCATGATTTTTAATTATCTCCTTATGTTCTGTTCCCTTTGACTGTTAGCCCTTTTTCTAGTGTTCTTGTACAGTATACCATCATCTGCCACTTGCCTAGCTTATATGGTAGGAGGTCTCAAGGAACAGAATACTTCTTGTTCTAGATAGGGGACCTCTCAAGAATCACTAAATGAAATTCCTATTTGATTCACACCATGAGTAATTCTTGTGCGGTTATGGTGATACACTTTGGTTTTTAGTATTTAGACTATACTTTTTTTTCTCTACGTAACAGAGCATTATAAATTCCGTTTATTGAGCAGTTATGTTTTAAGATATACTTTGATTGAAATTGTAAACTCTGTGAGTATAAATTCACTTACTCCACTCAACAAACCTAGAAGGGAGCTACCATCGTTATTCAATTTTATAATGACAAAACCAAGATAACCAAGGTTCAGTGGTTAAAGAAGGTGCCAATAAAATATTAAAATATAATGGTTTTTACCAATGGTTATACATTTTGGAGTGAAAAATAGATTGTAGCAGTCCTGTATATCGGCTAAGGATTTTGGATGTATTCTATATACTTAGAAAACCTTCTTAAGTTTTTTCAGTATTTTGCTTGGAAAGGAGCTTGACTTCAGGGAGACCAGGTAGGAAACAATTGTACTACTGGTCAAGTTGAAAAAAAAAAGAAAAATGATAAAGCTCTTCTAAAGGCAACATTAGTAGGAATGAAGAAGTGTCAAGTGACAGAGCTGTTAGAACGATAGATTGTATGAACTTTGAAAACCGGTTAGTTGTGACAGAGGAGGAGGAGGTAAGAGAGAAATTTAGGATGAATACAGAGTAAATTAACATAAAAGTACCAGTCAGAATCAATTGGTTACCAGTTGGTAAAACTGAAATTAAAATTACGGTTAATAAATTATCTTTGGTTCTGTTTATATTTATACTATGAAAACTATAGGTCCTTGAAATTTCCCATTTCTTTTTACCTCCATTTTCCTAGCCCACTTTTCCATCTCATCAAGATAGCTGTTGTATCATTTAGAGTAGTTTCTTTGATTATCATGTAAAATCTGGCATTTTCCTTTAGCCCCGCTTAGTTGATTATTGGGAGCTTCTTTTCTTTCTTTCTTTTTTTTATTGTGCGTTGGGTGAAGATTTACAGAGTAAATTCACTTTCCATACAGCAGTTCGCATACACTTTGTCTCATGACATTGACTACAATTTACCCCAATGCAACAGCTCCCCTCCCACTTCCTCCCGACAGTTACCTCTTCCCTCTGTCCATCCTCCATGCACTCCTGCTCCCTGAGCCATCTCCCTGTGCATAAACAGCCCTTCTTTCTCCCATCATTGTTCTCTCCAAAGAGTGTATCTGACTCAAGTAAATGTTCATATGCCTGTTTTTTATTTGGCTGGAAGCCACAGGTGTGGGTTAAATTCCAGACCTGAAGGGTAGCTAGGGGCCATAGTCTCAGTGGTTCCACCAGGCTCTATCAGACCAGCCAACCTGCCCCCCCTTTTTTTTTTCCTAAGTGATTTTGAGTTTTGTTCCCCATTGTTCTCCCTTTCTATCCAGGATCTCCTAAATAGATCCTACTCTGAGTGGTTGACAGTGGTAGCCTGGCACCATCTGGTTCTTCTGATCTCATAGTTGTATAGGCTGTGGATCGCATGGTGTACCAGTCACTAGGACTAATTGTTTCCATGAATCTTTGGTTTTCTAGATTATACTTTTTTTTAATGATAATTTTTTTGCTAAATGTTAATACTTAACATAGCTCAAACAGGTTTTTCTTTTTTCTAACTGCCAGTTTGTTTTCAATTCTTAAGGCATTTTATGGAAGACGTAATATTCATAGAACTTTACCACTGAAAGAAATCATTGGAATTCATTCAATAACAAGTCTGTTTATTAGGAAAATTCTTCTCCCTGAGCACTGTAGTAGCCATGATGATCATGATGAAGAAACAAAATTAAACAGATCTTTACTTTCAAAAGCTTACTGACTAGTAATTCTTTATAAATAAGCATATTTATGAAACATTACTCATTTCTGTCCTGAATTAGTCAATTACAGAAGTTACAAATTTTAACAACCCGAAGTCAGAATTCAAGATGAATTGTTTTTAATTCTAAATCTTTAATTGATGGGAGAGAAAGATAGTAACTATTAAATTTTATTGAATAACACAGATGAGAGATTTCTTAATGTCTTATCTTGGACATTTGAACACTAACCATTTTTCTTTACAAAAGGTAAAAATAATTTTTGTAGCCCCTTGAGTTAATTGCCTTAAGGTATAAATAAAGCAAGTGATAGCGAGGGGAAAAAGGGTTTAAAAGAAAATTGTTATATAAAGTTGTCTTGTTAAGATTTCTGTGAAGAGCATCATCATTTAAATGGTGCTTAAAAGATTATATATTCCTTTTTATTGGCCAATACAGATAAAGAAAGAAATTAAAAAGAAAAGCCATATACTGTGTGAGAAGAACATTTTTATTGCCCTTTGGGGAAAGCCACTAAATCCTTTCATTCACTTATAGGTGATTGGCTGCATCATTAAGAAATTTGAAGGCAGGGCTATTCTGTGAGTTTTATCTAAGTAGAAAAAGTGACATGGCAATATCAAAATGAAAAATTGGCTAAAAATTTAAAGCAATAAGACTGTCATGAATATTTAATGTCATTTTTTAAAGATGTATTTCTGTGAATGGAACAATTTTATTAAAGCAGTGTTTTTTATGTTTTACAGAATATATTCTAAATTCCATCAAAAGAGAATGGAAGAACTAACAGAAGTTGGTCTTCAGAACTTTTTCAGCCTTTTTCTACTGTTAGCAGCTGTTGCAGAGGTGGAAGATGTAGCAAGTCATGTTTTAGACCTCCTAAACTTCCTCAGGTCTGCCTCTAAAACATCTTCTCAAAGAGCCCTCATTTGGAAGGGTCAGATGGCCTTCCTCCTAATGTATGTCCAGAAAAATTTGGATATTGGTGTTCTGGCTGAGAAGTTTTCTGGTGATTTCCGGGAGAAAGCAAAGGAATTCTTAGTATCTAAGAATGATGAAATAGGACAGAAACAAACTCTCTGGACACTTCTCTCCATCTACATTGATGGTGTCCAGGAAGTGTTTGAGACCAGCCATTGCTTGAATCCTTCCCATGAAAAACTGCTTAACGATGGATTTACTATGCTTTTGCCAGCTTGTCGAGAATCCGAGCTTAGGATACTACTGAGCTTTCTGCAAGCTGTTCTGGCCAGAGTCAGGTATGTTTTTCAGTAACGTGTTCCTGTATCAACTATGTTGATTTTATATTAAGGTTTTCGTGTGGCATATTCTTGAAATCCAAACATAGGGAGCGGTTAGTTTTATTGCTATATTGGTGTAAATCAGTAGTTTTCAAACTGTTCTTTCAAACAGTATTTCTTTAAAAGGAAACTTAGGCAAACATAAGAGGTAAAACTGAACTCAGAGCAACTCCATTATAATCCAGAGCTGAACTTCTTTCTCTACTGTGTTGCTGTTGTTGTTGTTTTAATTGTTGTTAGCTGCTGTTGAGTTGTCTCTGACTCATAGCGACCCTATGCACAGCAGAACAAAACACCACCTGGTCCCGCACCAGCTCCATGATCCTTGCTGTACTTGAGCCCGTCGCCACAGCCACTGTGTCAGTCCATCTTGTTGAGGACCTTCCCCTCTTTTGTCAACCCTCCACCTTACGAAGCATGACATCCTTCTCCAGGGAATTGTCCCTTCTGACAACATGACCAAAGTAGGTGAGATGAAGTCTGGCCATTTTCGCTTCCAAGGAGCATTCCAGCTGCACTTGCTCCAGAACAGATGTGTTAGTTCTTTTAGCAGTCTATGGTACTTTCAGCATTCTTCGCCAGCACCACAACTCAAAAGCATCAACTCTTCTTTGGTCTTCCTTATTCATTGTCCAGCTCTTATGTGCGTATATATGAGGTGATTGAAAATATCATGGCTTGTGTCAGGCGCACCTTAGTCCTCAAAGAGACACCATTTGAAAGAAGTCTTTTGTAGCCAATTTGCCCAATGCTGTATGTTATCTGATGTCCTGACTGCTGCTTCCATCATTGTTGTTAGTTGTTGCCAAATTAATTGCGACTCATGGCAGTGTTAAGTGTGCAGAGTAGAACTGCACTCCCTAGAGTTTTCAAGGCCTTTCAGAAGCATGTAGCTGGGCCTTACTTCTGGGGAGGTTTGAACCACTAACTTAGCCTTAGTAGTTCAGGAATTAACCATTTGTGTAACCCCAGACTCCATCTTCCTCTACTACTTCTCCTAAATAGTTTTTCAACCTTGCTCTAATTCTAAGTAAAGTAAAATGGTTTCTTGTAGCTCCTTCTGACCTACTTCCCTCACTTCCGTTATAGGTTTCAAACACAAAATGGGTGATCTTTGTTCTGTAACTTTCTTTTTTCACTTAATATTCATGAACAGCTATGCATGTTTCCATTAGGTAGTATATGGACACCAATCTAATTCTGTTTAATAGCTACTCTATTCACCACATGGCTATATCAAAATTTACTGAATCCCCAAATAATGGAAAGATACTTTTAACCATTATATGCTATTACAAATGGAGCTTTATTTACAATATAGGCCTCCTTGCCCTTTTTGCAATATATATATATATATATACCAAAACCAAACTCACTGCCATCAGGTCAATTCTGACTCATAGCGAACCCCATTGTTTCAAAGGCTATAAATCTTTAGAGAAGTAGACTGCCTCATCTTTCTTTTACGGAGCAGATGATGGGTTTGAACCACCAACCTTTTGGTTAGCAGTCAAATGTCTTACACCACCAGAGCTTATTATACATGTATACATCTCTGTAATATCTGTGGAAGTATATCTGTAAAATAGTTCCTAAGAATAGAATTGATGTGCTGATAAATGGAATTATGTTACCAAATTATCTACAAAAAGAAAACATTACACATATTTTTGTTTTCCCTAAAAGAGTTTGAGAAAACCTCCTTTCCCATATCTTACAAAAAAAAATATCAAACTCACTAATGTCCAATCGATTCAACACATAGCAACCCTCCTTGGGTTTCTGAAGCGGTATCTCTATGGAAGTAGATTGCCCAACCTTCCTTCTGAGGAGTGGCTGGCAGGTTTGAACTGCCAGTCTCCTGGTTAGCAGTCAACTGACTTAGGCACTGATCCAACAGAGTTCCCTTCCCATATCTAGGTGATTGTATTGAGCGTATTTAGAATAAATGAATTCTAAAGATAAGAATAAAACCCGGTGGTTTCCAGCAAGATGGCGGACTAGGCGGAAGGACTGCACAGACCCTCTTCAACAAACAAAAGGGAAACCAATTAACACAGACACAGAAGATAATCTTGGACCCCAGAGCCTTGAAGGGAAGGATACAGAAGTGGACTAAACCCCAACTAGCAGAAGAATTTGTGTGAAAATACCATAAAAAGGAGACATATGGAGCTGCGGTCCGATAGCGCCCTGAGTGACCCTGACGGTACAGGCAGCTTGAAGATTCCCAACTGGTGGTAGGACCTAAGAATTAACCTAAAAATCACCCTGATAGCCAGGGACTGCACAGATTGTGCACGGTGGCTGGGGAACAAACAGAGAAGGTGAAGAGAAAGGTG